GCACCCCACATTCACGCAGACGGTTACCAGGCAGCAGCTGGGACGTGAGATCTTGGGATAGAGGGACAAGATTCTGCAATATTTCAGTCATCTCAGGACCATTTGAAGAGTGAGTGTGAGTTCTGGTTGTTGTGTGAGAACTTGGAGAATTTCATGCCGACAGCTTACAAGAGAGTCCCAGGGACAACAGTGGGACCAGGGAACGTGAAAGCGGCCCCAGCCAGCGCACAGACCCCGGGTTCTTGAGAAAATCGCACAGCAGAAAGAAACAGTGCCAGCTTTGACTGAAGGGACGGAGTACAGGCCCGCAGAGGCTCCCAACGAGAGGTGCTGCAGGAAACGTCCACTGCCCACATGTGCCGCTTCGGAAAGGGAAGGGCAGCTGCCACCAGGTGGGCCTCAGCCCGGCCGCCCCTCCTCACTGTCGCTTCCCACCCCCAGGCCCCAGGGGCCGCACCAAGTGGGTCACACCCAGGGCCCAACAGTGTTCAGACGGCAGGATTGGGACTTGCACGGACCCTCTCATGAGAGGAGGGTCTACTGGGGAACCCGGAGGTGGGGGCCAGGGGGGAGTGTGGTTGCAGATGGTGGTCACTGGGGCCCCTCCCAAGTGTGGGTGGCACTGTGAATGTGTGAGCCTTCGGTGTGTTCTGCTGCGTGGCAAAGCGGGATTTTGCAGATGTGACTCATTTCACTCTGCCGACCCTGGGGTCCCCATTATCCAGGTGGGCCTCACTGAGAGGCTCAGAGCCTTTAAAAGCAGAGAGGAGAGACGGCTCTGGAGTAGGAGGGAGCGCTGCTGCCCCACTGAGCCCGAGGGTGCAGGGATCAGAAGGAAGGCGGGAGGAAGGGAACCCCAGAGGGCTGCTGGCAGGGCACAGGGACGGAACCCAAGTCCGGCAGCCCCGGGAAACTGGATTCTGCCAACAGTAAGAGTGAGCTCAGGACTGGATTCTCCCCCAGTGCCTCCTAAAGAGGGCTCGGCCTAAAGGTGGGAGTATTCTGAGCACCTTCATCCTGACAGCATTTGCCGGTTTCAGGGGGAAACAGTGGTGTTTCCTCTCTACATCATGAACTGGGTCTGCGATGCCATGCGCAGCTGCGGCCCATTTAATCTCGCAGCTCTCCGCTATGCGCTGCGTGACCACCTCACTGTGTTCCCGTCCCTCCCTTACGGAGCTAGGGGTGGTCTCCAGCTTTAGACTGGTACAGGATGCGGCTACAGACGCTCCAGAGGACCCACGAACAGCCTTCCCAGCCTTCCTCACACCATGACGTGCAGGAAGAGCCGTATCTACCTGGCACACCGGGGGTGTGGGGAGCTCTGGACCTGGCTGCACAGGTGACCATGGACTCTGGCCACCTGTAAAGGGACCCATCAGAAGGAGCACATCAGTTCCACACAGCATGGTGGTGGAGACCGGCTCATAGCATGAGTGGGACACAGGCTGTGGTCCAGTCAACGGTGGCCAGATGAGATCCCGGTGACCAGAGCAGCTGGCTCGTTGAGGCCCTGTCAGTGTCCCCACTGCTCCTACCCTCACCGGACACTGTGAACTTTATTTTCGTAAAGAATCTCTCTGTGTTCATCAGTAGTTCCCGCACTGCTAACGAGGCTTTTTTGGCATCCTTAATATAACCTGGATCGCAATCGCGTCAGTTTCAAGCGTTACAAAGTGTTCTCCTCACTCACGACCTCTTTCTCCCTTTCGCTGTTCACTATTTCATGCAACGAGGAGCCTCTGTCCATCACTCACCCTCTTCACGGTACGAGCTTTCTCTGTGCCTCTGTCTGCAAGGCTTCTCCATGTTTTCCACTATCAATCTTGGACGTACCGTCCTGCAGTCAGAGACTGTGTTCTAAGGATCTGACGCTTTGAGAGATGTTGTCTTACTTTCTGAGCTGGCAGGGGTTAATTTTCGCACATGCCCTGTGCTTATTCGAGGATAACATGCATTTCCAGTTGTTAGGTGGGGGGCTCTACCATAAGCATCCAACAGATGAGGGACGACAGACACCAGCTGGGAGGGGTGGGTGACAAGTCCGGCCCCGGCCATCTGTCTACATGTGGTCCAGGGCCACCTTCACCCCGCAAGGGCAGCTAAGCAGCTGAGACAGCGGCCGGACGACCTCCTGGAGCCCGAGTGCTCTCTCTGCCGGAGAGGTTTCCCTTTCCTCTTTGATATCGTTGATGAAAGAGCCACTTTACAGTTTTGTGTGGCGATGACACCTTTGGTCATTTCTGTGCATCTTCATTACTTTGTGTTGAGGCTAATCAGGTGCAAACCGGTTTTCAATCGGCCCGTTTTCCTGGTGGTGCTCTCTCTTCTCTCAGTAATGTGGTGGCCCCTTTTGTTCCTAGGAATTATTTCTGCTTTGAAATCTGTTTGGATGATACTGTTATGGAACAGCTTCTTTGCATTAGCATTCCTTTTTTCCATTCTTTTATGTCTTACTCCCTATTCGTAAGAGGGTGTGTCTCTCATGAACACAATAGCATACAGCTGGGATGAACTCTTCCACGGACTCTGATGGTCTCTGCTGGTCAGGAAGTTGGGTCCACTTATTACACACAGTGACAGGCACATCTGATTTCCCTTCCACCAGCTTAGATTGTATTTTCTTTTTATACTGTGTTTTCCTATTCCCCTTTTCCCTCCTCACTTCTTTTGAATTACGTTTCTAAACTCCACTTTTTACCCTTAATCATTTGAAGTTTTAGCCTTTTTATAGTTTCCCCTAATATTGCAACATGAATTCGAGATTTAGTGAAGTAAGACAGTCCATCTGCGTCTCTGTCCTCCTCTGGGACAATGTAAGAACATCCAACTGTTCATGTCAGATCGAGACCCCTTCAGCCACTTCTCTGCTGTCAGTTTCAGTGTGCTTTAAGTGGAACAACACATCATCTGTTTTCAAACAAGTGCTTGAACAATGCGAGGAGAACAGACACTGTAAGACAAAGCAAACTCCAGCCACGAGACACCATGCACATCACATAAAAACAGTCTCATATCCAGGTAATGAAAACTAGAATTAAAAAGGTCCCTATCTCCAGCTCAGAAACTGCATGCCAGCACAATGACAGGACGAACGCTGGACCTGGAGATTTCAGCCCGACGCCACGGCCGCACGAATGCAGGCCTATGTGCGGACTTCGCCTGTCTTGTGACTTCAGGGGGAGGGCAGGGTGACCGACCAGGACGGACCACTGGGCCACTGGGTACTAGACGTCAAAAGTACTGCTGCAAACAAAGTCTCAATTACTGCAGAGCCCAAAAGGAAAGAAATTGTATCTCCACTCTGGGAAAATTAATCTGAAGGATAAGGCAGGGGTTTAGGAAATTGCGGTCTAACGTGAAAATCCCCACGGGGGACGGGAGCACAGCGAAGGGGCGGGGGGAGCCAGAGCCGGGCGAACTGGAGAGCCCGTTCGGGTGCCACGTCCGATTCCGGAAGACGGGTTCCACTCACCTACATCTGCTGTCACTCCTGTCTCCTAGACACGGATGTTCTGCTGCTTAATCTCGAGGGTTTTTGTTTTAAAGAAAGGCAACCCCGCAGTTTGTAGGGTGAAACAAAAGAGTAGGAACCCAACTAACTAGATGTTAGGTGCTTGCTAGAAATTTTTTTTTCTAGATGTAAAATTTACCGATGAATTTTAGTAAGTCGTTTATTTAAAAGCAAAAATTGGCATAGACTTCTTGGAGAAAAGATCTTTCTGCTTACCTGTTTGAATCGAACATTAACCTTCCTATAAACAGGCATTCTGTGGAGGACACAGAATCTCTCGTGTGCAGAGATCGAATGGCCATCCAGGATGGACAGCATGTTCATGGGTATCACTTTCAGTGAGGTTTCACTAAAATATTAGCCATGGAATCAGAACTTAGTGTTTTGTGCCATGTGGCCACAGGACCGTTGATTTCATAGCATGGTTAAGAACATACCAGCACTCTGGGGTTTCAGGAAACGTAAGCACACCAGTGCACACAAGCAAAGAGAAGAGGTGGGAAGCAGGAAGGCTACTGTGTTTGGGGACAAATGACTAAGGACAAGAGAACACGGAGCTTCGTTAGCAGCAAGATCATCAGTCGTACACTCCATAACGACAGTTCTACAGAATAAAGATGACACATCATTTCTTGACCATGTCCCATCCAAAGCAAAGATTTACTAATCACTCTTCCAATGTCAAGTATATCTCCTAAGAGCTGACATTTTCATTCTGAAAAGTAACAGCTACCTCACAGGGAGTGAGCTAGATGTATTTTTACACTTTTTCCAAAGTACAGTATACCACTGCACAGCAGTATCCAATTTGGAGACTGATAATGGGGGAAAACTCTTTAGGAAAAAACTAAAATTCATCAAGCTTAAAAATCTAAAATTAGTTCCACTTTCTAATAATAATATAAATACAGTACATCAACATAAGGATATCAGAGGCCAATTTGGACTGCAAAGTTCCCCAACAATGCACCAGACACAAATCTGGATGTAGTGCGTGTAGCTGGAGGGCTCTCTTTTCTCTTTAAGGGAAGTGATCCTTTGAAATAGTTAATACAACTGTTGCTGACACATTAATAACGGTACGTCTAGCTTCGTGCACTAACCTGGACGTCTGACCAAGACTGGCCCAGCAAAGGAAGTTACCAAATAAGCTTAAATCTATTTTGAGTCTTATCTAGGTTCATTCTCTTCATTCTCTTTTAGCTCCCTTCATTCTCTTTTAGCATTTGAAGACAACAGATCAGGCTGGCAGATATTATTCACAGACCCTTAAGATTGTTTTTATCAGTTCAATCTGTTTTATTGAATTCTTGATAACAGGAATAGGATTTGCAGAGAGGGCAGGGATACTGGAAAGGTCTGTCCTGGATGTCTCCTGCCAGGCCAACAGAGAAGCTGCTGCCTGGTTAGTTCCAAACTGAGTTGTACTGTCTCTTTTCTGTTCTGGCTTCCTTGGTCCTTCTTCGTTATGAGGTGAGAATGTCCTCTAGACTCCAATGATAGGATTAGCTATGTTTGTTGCTGTGCTCCCTGAAGGCCTGGGTGGGTGGTTTACCAAAAGCGTTGAAGAAACAACTCTAGTGATCGAGGGCTTTGGTGGAGGAGAAATGACTGCCTGGGGGGCTGTCTGAGGCACGCTTTCACTCAGTGCACCCCGGGCGTCCTCACCAGGACTCACTTGCTGCAAGGACACTTCAGTAACTTGCATGTTGGTCACAGACGCTGCCACTACAGCCAGTGTGGGACTGTTCCTGCCCTGACAGGTGCCAGTGACAGTGCCAGCCTTCATGGCAGCCATGCTGTTCTCACTGGTTGCAGACAAGTCAAGACTGCTGTCATTCAAGGCTGTCAATCTGACATCTTCCGCAGAATGTGTTTTCTTCTGAAGCACATGATTAGGTAGTAGCTGATGAAGTTCCTTTTTTCTTAAATGCATTGCATCAATTTTCATATCCATCTCAAACATCTTACTGTTTATCGCTTGCCTATAAACTGTGTCAGTGAAAGACTGGATGTCATAGGTGAGATCAATACTGAGCATGTCAGAACTTTCTGGCTTTTTCAACACTAACCCAATCACCCACATTGTACAAAACTCTTCCTTGTCAGGATTTTCTTTGGGTGCTGGAAATGACTGAGGATTCACATGTGCCAGCGTGATAAATTCATTCTTCTCCAGACTCCCGACCAGGATTCTGATCTTTGACTCCACCAAGCCCACCCATTCCAGGTGCTGTTTTTCTGTCGGTGCACTCGCTAGGAGAACAATGTAATGCTTATACTTCTGAAAGAAACTCGGAGCGTCAAAAAGCTTGGACCACTCTGCCTTACTCAGCAAAATCTCGTGTGTGATAGCAAGCCCTTGTTTAAACTCCTCAATCATGACCATCCTCGTTGAAACAGACACATTGTACGTGGAGTTCTGCTGTGGGTAAGCTGGTGTGATTATGGGCATCAGATGGTACCTATCACTGGGATTTACTCTTGGGTCCCACACAGGCAAATTCAGATTTCGTTCTTCGGGCTCTTTTAGGAGCACTGGATTTGGCCACTCCCATTCAGAAAATACCAAGAAAAATTTACGTACAAGAGTTGATGCTACAGCATTTGGGTAGAGCTGGCAAGTTCTTGCTACTAGCATGGCCCAGGAAACACCTCCTAGGAAACCTAATATATTAGAATAGATGTTGTGGCACTTGGCCCATAGTTTGATAGCTCTGAGAGTTAACCTGAAGTTGTCAATGTTTGGTACCAGGTGTAATATTTCATCCGTTACCCGGCAACCATTAAGGCTTCTTATGCATCTAATATCTAAATTTTTAAGCAGACTGTCATCTCTCAGGTCCAAATCTTCTGGAATAGTCTGCAGTGCTAATCTTGCAAACAAAATATCTATCTCTATCCCATCAAAACACAGTCTGATAACTGGCACAAATGCCTCCTCAACAGCCCTTAAATCTTTTACTTCTTCGTGTAGTTTCAATTTATCATAGAAGGAGGTGAAAAAGTCACTTCGGTCGACATGTCTCGGTGCAACGCACAGCGCATCTATGTCGGCACCTTTTGTGTGCACTCCTAATCGGTAAGAGCCGAAGGTAAAGATTTTGCCTCCAACATTTTCAATGACAGCTGGCGGGAGACTTTTGCTTTCGCTGATTTCTCGTATCCATTCCTTTACCAGATTATTTAATTTTTCCAAAATTAAAATCCTGCGCTGCAGTTCCTCTTCCTCTTCCAAAACCCCGAAGGGCTTCAGGGTTTCAATTAATTTCTGAGTAAGTATGCAGTCTGTCTCCTTGGGGGCAGCTAAACTGATGGGGGAGGAGATGCCATAGAGCTTGGGGGACGGTGGGGTCTGTTGTGATCCTGGGGTTGTCACCGGAAACGGCATCATCTCTAGCGCTGGCCCAGCCACGCCACGTTCCCCGCCACCGCGACCTCCTTGGCCGCTGCCCGGGTCATGATCCGCCGAGGCGGGAGGGGCGGGGCTCCTTCCAGGTCTGACCCGCTCCCGCCGGTTCAAGCGTCTCTCCGCTGTCCCCTGGGCCCCAACATGGCGCCCTGGCCCTCGACGCTACGTTCTAGAACTGCCACGCACACCGCAGGCAAAGGCGCATGCGTGCCATGCAGAGCCTCACGGGAGTTGTAGTTTCCAGGGGTCTGCCACAGGGTTAGTGTTTCAGCCTTCAAGCTTGGGGAGGTGGGTTTTGGTTTTTGGCTTTTTTACTGTTTTCTGCATTTACCTTGACCTACCATGTGTTTCTTTGTTCACCATTTCTTCTTACACCTCAGATCTACTTCCGCTCCAGGGGCATCTTCAGTTGGCCTTCCACCTAAAGCCCATCCTTTAGAAATCCCTTTACAACAAGAGTCTGCTGGGGAGCAGCAGCACCAGCTGAGGCCTCTGTGGCTGGTGCCCGGATAAAAGTTTAGCCAGACTGGCACCTCCAGCTGGGCAGTTTTGTTGTCTTGCTCTCAAGGTCTCAGCTGCTGTCTGCTGGTTTCTACATTCCTGTTGCGAAGTCTGCAATCAGGCTAACCTGCTGCCCGCCTGGCTTTTATTTTTGGCAGCTGTAAAAACCTCTGTCCTCAGTGTCCTATATCAATGTTAAAAATAAAATAGCCAGTTATTTTGCCCACAAAAATAACTTTATTCAGGTTGGCAGCGGAAATACAATTCCAGATGTCCACGCTATAGCAAACCACAGGCAAGTCTGGAGGACAAAGGAGGGGAACTCTGAGAGAAAAAGCGGGAAAGGGGGAGGAGGGACTATAAACAAAGTGTTCATTGGAGGTAGCCAGGAGTGGCAGTTGGAAGTGTAATGACTTCCCATTGGCTGAGTCATGGCAGTTTTTCATTGGCTGGGTCTGTTGCTAGGCAAAAGGACAACCCTCCTTTGTCCTACTGTAGTGGAGTAAGCTTCTTGCTGTCCTGAAGGCAAGGGCAGCTCCTCCTACTGGAGGAAAATATGCAAAATAAGGTGAGTGGTAGCGTGGGAGAGCTCCCCCAGGACTTCCCAACTCCATTTTGAGTGTGGTTTCCTTTATTTTCACACCTGCAATACCACCACCAGGTGTCAAGGGGTAAATTCCTTTTTGTTTATCTTACACAGGATATCCTGTGTTTCACACTTTTCAATTTGTGATGTCCGTAACATTTTCAGGCGTGTCCTTGGAATATGCTCTTCCCACCGTTCTCTTGATTCTCTTCAGGCAGACCCGGGACAGGCCTTCTCATTCTGTTCTCTATGTCTCATGGCCCGTGTTTCTTTCAGGGTGATGGGAGATCTGCCTCTCGGTTCTCTACTCTCTTCAGTTTTATTTAATCGCTGCTGAAGCCTTCACTGAAATATCCATTTAAATGCTGATATTTCTATTACCAGAAGCATTATCTTGTTCTTTTCCAAACTTTCCCTGCCTTTTTATTAGCACCACGCTCTAACCAACTGAGCTAACCGGACAGTGGTGTCCTGCCTTTTTAGATGACACTCTTTCTCACCTGTTTTTTCCCCTCCCTCTTATTTCTTTAAACATTTTAAACACGTTTAGTTACTCAATATTATATAATGGTCCCAGTTCCTAATGTTCTTGAGAATGTGATTCAATCTGATTTGTTGTTTTTCTCCTGACTCATTTAGAGTAACATCATTTCATGGGTCTTGTAACTTTGGATTATGAGCTCATCTCTGGCAAGGCTTGGGATGCCTGTGTGAAGAAGGCGTGTCCTTCCAAAGAGGATGAGCTTTGTTTCTCTCAGATGTCCTTGGACTCCATCAAATTACCGACACTGCAATTTAATTTCTTATCCAGGGGTTATCCAGACCACAGAAGCAGCCCAGCTTTAAACTCCAAACACACATGAGAGGAAGAGTGGTTTCCAGTTCCAGGGAAGAGTCTTTAGTTTTCCCACCCGGAGCCCAGGTCCAGGAAAGTAAGTCTTCATTACTTCCTTTGACCGGTAGCAGATTCCTCTCACTCCATCCTTAAGTTCAATGTGCCGCCCTCAAGGGTCCAGGCAATATTTGGGGGTCTTGCTTCCAGCGCCCCACCCCGTTAGGTCCAAGGCTTTATGTCTCCTTCTTACACGGCTCTCAGTACTAAACAAGTTTCACAGTTACAAAGAGCAGAGAGTGTGTCCAGCTCTGGTCTCCCACCGTGTTTTCCACGGTGAGCATGAGCACCTCCCTCCGGAGGCTCACTGTGCACCACCATGGCCGGAAGTCTCCCCAGGTGGGTGGTGCTGCCAGCCAGGCCCCACGTGAGCACCGCCCACCTGGGAGAACAGGCTGTTAAGCCTCCTTCCGACTCTGCATGTCTATGTGAAACCAAAGGCTATGAATTTTTTAAAAACTAAGCAGTGACTCGAAGCATGAAACTGGCTGTCAGCAACTAACCATTGAACTTTATGACGTTGTTGAATTAAAAATTCTTAAATGGCTTTTAAGTTCAATTACTTTTCTAGTTTCAGACCGGTTAAAAAGGTGGGGGTTGTTCTGCTTTTCACCAAACCACACAAAGTAGACATTCTCCACATTGACTGTGTCATTGAGTCATCTTGTCACAGTGACAAGAAGTCTTACTCAAGACTCAGGAGGGAGTTACTCCTAAATAAAAGGAGAAAAAAACAAAGATCGCCTCCCCGAACCTGACATAAATGATTAAAACTCAGATTCATAGCACGAAAAAAAAATCAAAAGAAATTGACCACGCAAGCTGGGGGGCAGGGGAGAACCAAGTTCGAGGCACACCATTAGCAATGGAGCCTGAACATCCCTATCAGTCACCAGGGGTCAGGCCTTGTCTGCCCGTCTGTGATGTCAAGGTAGGAAGACAAACACACACCCAAAGTGTGTGTGACATCAGAGATGACACCTTTGCCACCACCAGCCACTCAGCTGAGCTTAGAAGAGAGGGGAGGCTGGCTGGTTGCACTGTCAGGTGCCAGAGCAGCGTATCCCTGGTCACTGAAGCCACAACTCGCAGAAGTGGACAGCTACGCCATCGGCTTGCCGCCCTCCCCTGTCCCAGATCCACTGCGAAGAAAACAGACTCCAGCTCCAGAGTCCAGGATGCACAGGAAAGCCGAGCGGAGCCTCCTCTTCCCTGTGACATCAGCCCTTCACCAGGGCTTTCAATGAGCACCTACTATATGCCAGATGCCACACAGACATTTGAAGGGCAGTGAGTCCCAGCCTTCAGTGGCTGATGCAAAGGTGTCCCTGGAACTGTGTGACCTGCAGAGAGAGCCTCAAGCTGCAGTGGCTTTCGAAACACTGTCAGCTGACCTTTCTCCAAAGAGGGCACCCAAAGCAAAGCAGGCCCTGCCTGCCAGGAGCCCACTGACACAACCCCTCTGTGGCCCCAGAAGGCCACACAGAAAGGCATCCATGGGTGCCAAAAAAGAAGCTCCACGTGTCACCCTTCTCAGGACACTGGGCTTTCTCAGACCCTCAGAGCGTGCCGCAGGAGGGGCAGTGTGGCCTCATGGTCACAGGGCATATGACCACTGGCCCCAAAGGCGAGGCACTAGGTGTGGCTGAAACTGAGCTCATCCAAACTGAGTCCAGGCCGCTGGGTCCACACCAGTGGTTCCCAGGCCAGGGCGAGGCAGGCTCAGGACTCTGCCCTCAGAAACTATCGGCTGCCGCCACTGGTCGAGGTGCACTGCCTCTAGGGGTAGAAGCAGAGGGGGCGCTGCTAAACATCCTTTGCCCCACAGAAAAGAACTACTGGCCCAAATGGGCCAAGGCTGAGAAATGCGGCCTCGACCCCTCTCCCATCCTGGAAGCAAAGTAAACCCTTCTCCTGCCCTCCCCCAGCTGCTGATGAAAACCACATGGCCTGGTGAGGGCCCCCTCCCTGCAGGAGCTTATCGCCTTTATCTCAGTGACAGCATCCAGAGCCCTCTCCACATGGCACTGGGCCGAGTACCCGCCTCCTGGGAAAAGGCAGTAAGAGGCACTTTGCAGCCCCACCTACACGGGCCTCGGCTCTCCCAGAGCTGATGCACAATATTTTGATCCTCTGGAAATCAGGGGAAGTGGCAGCTGTGAAAAGGTAATATTTATGGAAAACAAACACCAAAGTGCCTGAGCGCACAACAGTGGCCCAAATGGTGAAGGGGGGTGGGCTGGATCCCGCTGGCAGTGCCCTGGGAAGCATCTGGCACGCCCACGTTCCCACTTGAGTCTCCCGGGGAATGCCAGGCCGTGTGCAGGAGACCTGGCCGTGGGGGCTCCCGGCACCCACACCCAGCTGCTCCTCAGCGCTGCTCCAAAGCATGCCATGGACTTTGGCTAAAGGCCACCTCCGAAACCAGCGTGACCAGCACACCCCAGGCGCTAACAAGCAGGGAGTCCTGTGCTGTGGGGACAATGACTGAAATAGTGAAAATTACCAAGCCAGTGTTCAGGAAGGCTGGTGTTAATTCACATACACACTCACTCGTGCGTGCACACACAGACAAGGTGCACATTGCGGTCCTTCCCCTTGCCACTGTCTGCTCACTAGGGAACAAGTGTTAGAAGGAGGGACCAAAGGCCCCTCCCAGGGCACACAGATGAGCCGAGACCCTTTCTCATCACACGGCATACACAGCCACCGGCCGGGGCCGGCACCCTCTTCACGCCTCGCCTCCACAGTGGTTTTGGGTCTCTCTGTGGCCCCCACTGTCAGTGAGGATGGCACGGGGACCCTGGGCCGCCTATCGGCCCCTGAGCAGGTTTCAAGCAGAGGGACAGATGAGGTGTCAGCTCCCTCTCGGTGGGACTCCTGTGAGACGGTGAGGAGGTGTCAGAACAGCATCCAGGGCCACACGACGACCACCTGCAAATGCACAGACGCTGCAGCACAGCCCCTGTTGCTCGGACCAGAGTGTGTGCGGGCTGCGCGCCC